CCCCCCCCCCCCCCGAACGCCAAGAAAAACTGTGCAGGCTGTATGTTTTTGTTTGAGCTTAGACAAAAAACCTTGGCTTTCATCTGTCTCTAAGGTGTTTTATACTTTAAATTGGAGAAACTTACAGGTGTTTTGAACTGAACTGTGCTCGAACTGAATTAACTACTTTGGCTGTTTAAAAATTAGCGTTCTTGGGGTTTGGTTTGGATGTTTTTTGCCCCTGTATCAAGCCAAGACAAACTCGCAGAATGTTGCCTCGTGCATTTCTCACACAAACGGCCTGAATCTGCCTTTATCTTTCCGTGTGTTGATCTGATGATATCTTCTAGACTAAATAAAATTCTTCTGTGACAGAAATAGGAGGGGCCTTTTCATGTAGAGCCATGGTGTTAGAAAGAGAAGTTTTCATTCCTCAGAAGGAAAGACAGCATTTGTTTTGCTGAGTGTAAACAAGGCAAAAAGCTTGGAATTTGGACCTATCAATGGTTCTGGTCTCACCAGACCTTCTCTGGTACCTTCTGTGTATTGGAATCCATCTGGAAAAAGGTTTTAAATCCACAGAGGAGCTGACTAAGAAATGTTCGTGTGCTTTGAGATTAAGGTTAATCCAAGAGTGGCAGATCCCATCTAGCAGAAGCGGAGAGTAGCTCTTATTTTTCTGCTTGTATTCCTGTTTAGGAAGTGACTAGCTTCCCTGGGGCTGCTCCCCAGCTTGCTAGCACTGGGGGTTTGGTGGGGGCGTAGCGCTTATCAAATATAATTTCTGCATTATCAGTCAGCAGCAGCATATCCTGTGGGTGTCCAGCCCTTATTCTGTAATTAATGGTTAAAAAAAAAAAAAATCCTGCCTGATGAAGAGCTAGCTCAAGAGGTCCTCCTCCTCATGTGCCTGCATGTCTCCTTTTGGTACCACCTTCTCCGTGGTGACATCTGCCCATCTGAGCCTCAAGTGGCATATCTGCTGCTGTCCCTGAATGCTGGCAGACCCCAACCCCTTGTCCTGATCTGGAGGGACCTGGAGCTGCTGGTATGCACAGGGACTTCTCCTGCCAAAAACCTCCCTTGCTGTCAGGAATGGTGGTGGTGTTCTCCCTTTCCCTCTGGTGCCCACAGGCAGAATAACAGCTCGGTTTTCAGCTGTCTGCTGCCTGTTGTCAGTGGAATTGTGCCCAAGATACTTAGACACCGGGGGATTTAAGTGCCCAGGTCTCGGAGTGGTTAATGAGATGAGTGCCAGAGCTCCTGGTTGGTTTTTGGGTTTGTTTTTGTTTTTTAAAGCTCCTGCTGGAGCAGTTCAGGGTTGAACGAAATATTTGTGTTCTAAGAGACAAGTGCAATGATCTGGCTGCGATACCTGACGTGCTGTCTGTGTCCTCGTGCCCTGATCACCGTGAGAATATCACTCACTTCCCTCAGGCAGCTAAAATGAGGGCTTCTGTGCTCTTCCAGTAAATCATAAGTAACCTGATGTGAAGAAGTAACTGCACATCTCCTTTCTGGCTATGCCGAGGGCTTCTGTGCTCCTCCAGTAAATCATAAGTAACTGCACATCTCCTTTCTGGCTATGCCAAGTCTCCTCTGACCACTTTTTTTTCTTTTTTCCCCCTTCAGCTGACAAATTGGACGCTGACTACATTGAGCGGTACCTGGGCCAGCTGACCCCCATGCAAGAGAGTTGCTTGATCCGCCTTCGCCAGTGGCTTCAAGAAACGCACAAAGGCAAGGTGGGTTGGTGAGGCAAGAGCAAAAAAAACTCAGGGTCATGGACAATTTGTGTGTGGAGACTGTTTTGGCACTGAGAATAGTCTGTGTGACCCTGCAGCAGCATCCAGCAGTGTCACAGGCTGCACCAGCGTTGCCCAGTTCAGCCCTGTCAGTATGGAAAAGGCCACTCAGTGGTCCCCAAGCATCATGCGTTGGGCTTTGTACTTAGAGTAGGTTGTTGCCTGAGGCTTGGTGGCCCAGATGGGCCTGTCTGGCCGGGTTGTGTCTCCCAGGAGCTGTGGGATGGGGTGAGAGAAGCGGTTGGCCACACTGGTGGCATGTCCCTGTCCCTGGGCAGATGCTGCTCGGCAGAGGGGTGGTGGGTAGGATGTGCGTTACATCGGACGGGCTGTGTCAGCCTGTTGGCTGAATTCTTTTGAGGAGAATTAATTCCCTTCTTGTTTTAATCTCCTTTATCAAAATGTACTCTTTCCAAACCATACAGGATTTGGGAAGTAGAGACACTCTCACAGTATGGAGAGAGGTACATTGTGAAAGCCACCAAAATAGAGGAGCTGAGGGCACTAGACTGGGGCAAGTACAGCTGGAGTTGGCCAGTTAGTATAGAAGGAATCATTTTTTCCCTGAAAACCCACATGGGTACTGTGGGCTAGATGTGTCTCTGCCTTGCTTGGGCTCCTCCTGGTTGAAGGGGAGTCTCTATCAGGGCGAGGGGGCAAGTGGTGTGTAGCTGAGAAAATAAAGACCAGGGGCAGCTCAAATGCCTCTAGAGGTGATCTAACTCCAGCTATCCTGATGGAGAGAGGTTGGGTGGGATGGAAGGACCAAGGATGTCAACACAGTAATTGGGTGGGCTGGGTAGATGAAGAGGGGAAAACAGGAGAGAGATGGTTGGGGCAAGTGAGAACAGCGTATGGCTAGATGAGGGTTCAGCAGTAAGAGCTTCCTGACTTAGCAGCTGACTGCACAGTACAGGATGGGTTAGGAGGTACTCTGTGTTCAGGGGCTTTACAAGACTTTAAAATTTTTTTTATTTTTTTTTTCTTTTACCTGGATTTTCCTAAAGAGGCTACTGTTTGCAAGGAGCTTTGTCAGTGTGCATGTCTTGCTGTGTCTCTCTCTGAGCTGAGAGACAGCACGTCCCATCTAAGGAGTTTAAACATTTTTAAACCCCTGTTTTTTCTTGGAAAAACTGATGTGTATCACCCACGTAGAAGTAAAATGTAACAAAGATTTAGTGCTATGGTTCTGTTGTTACTGAACTCAGGAAGAAGTCCCCTTCTGTGTGAGTGTCCACATTGGGTTCTTGTGGTACCTACGAATGTGGATGGAGAAACAGTTACCAGAAAACCACAGGCTGGAGAGAAGAACAGTCTGTGTTTGAGGTAGTTTGTGAGAGTGCCCCAGCAGCTGAGAAGCTCCAGAGACTGACAACGGTCTTGAATCTGCAAGAGCTGGTAAATTCAGAGCACCAAATCTGTCCAAGGCCACTGGTATGTGGTAGCTTCAACAGGCTGTATAACTTGGGCCATGTCCAAGAGCGAGCCAGCTGCTACAGGCAGGTAGAGGCTACAGGAACATAGATGGAACAAAGGACCCCTTGAAGGACTGTCTGAACACCTACCTGCATGCTGTTATGGTGTCACTGTGATGCACTGCCTCCCAGTAAACAGCCAGGACTGGTCTCCCAATTATCCAGGCAACCGTGAGGATGTGTGAATGAGCTGTGTGAGCAGTTACCTGCTATAGTAACAGAAAAACTGATAAAACGTGCTCTGCTAAATGTTCCTTGTGGTCCTTGTCTCCCCCAGATTAACCTCCTGTCAGGTAAAAGGGGGTTGACAAGAAGCAGACACAGAACGAAGGGGGCAGGGGTAAATTCCCAGGGGTAGTTATGATCTGGAATATAGGACATGAAGCTTTTCAGGACTACAGTGCTGTGTCCAGTAAAACGGTGTGGACTCCTGTGTGGCAGGAGATATCTCAACTATTGAGTGTCCAGCTGAAAATGAGCCCTAGGTTGAGAGTAAGGCAGTGAGCCTTATCCCTGTGTGATCTGCAACAGTCTCAATTTCAGGTGGAAGAAGCACATTTGCCTGGTTTGTGCCATGAGTGTTTTTTTTTTTCTTTTCCCCCCTCCTAGTCAGCTGGAGCTGCCTTGGACCCTCTGGGTAGGCTTTGTGAGCTCTGCTCCCTGCACGGTCTTGAGCAAGCAGGGAGGAAGGTGCTGGCTATTGAAACTTCATCCCTTGCTACTCACCTGTTTGCTTCTCTTCATTGCCTGCCAGAATAATACAAATTCAGGAACTTGTTTTACATGACTCTCCTATGAAGACAGGCTGAGAGAGTTGGGGGGGTTCAGCCTGGAGAAGAGAAGGCTCCGGGGAGACCTTGGAGCCCCTTCCAGTCCCTAAAGAAGGGGCTCCAGGAAAGCTGGGGAGGGACTCTGGATGAGGGAGGGGAGCCCTAGGAGGAGGGGGAAGGGTTGGACCCTGGAAGAGGGGAGATGGAGCTGAGCTGTGGGGAAGAACTTGTTTGGTGTGAGGGTGGTGAGAGCCTGGCCCAGGTTGGCCCGAGAAGCTGTGGCTGCCCCATCCCTGGAGGGGTTCAAGGGCAGGTTGGAGGGGGCTTGGAGCAACGTGGTGTGGTGGGAGGTGTCCCTGCCCAGGGCAGGGGGTGGCACTGGGTGGGCTTTGAGGTCCCTTCCAACCCAAACCATTCTGTGATTCTATGACTTGAGTTTTCCCTGAAGAGGCTCCTACCTTGCTGTGACAACCTGTTCTTTTAATTTGGAGCAGTGATGGCTTTATTCCACTGTCAAAAAATATTTGTAAATCTTCTCGGAAACTGTCCCTGCTTATCTTGGTCCTCTTCATACTATTTCACTCTCCGTCCTTCTTTCTCAGATTTATCATTGCTTTAATAAAAAACTTCCAATGGTGTTAAAATTGCAGATACTTAAAGCTTTGCACCGTGTAGTACAGTGCATGTAGTTTCACTAATAAATAGGAAAAAAAAAGGTTGAAATTAAAATTTCATTTTCTTGTACATGGCAGTTACTGCTTTGGTTGGATGAAGATTAGAGATTAATTCTACTGGGGAATAAGTCCCCTCAGAGCTTCCTGCCTTTGGTCCGAACAGAAATGCTGTCTTTGCCTCTTCCCTGAAGCTCCGTGCAGTGCATGTTTGAAGTCTGAAAAGTAGCAAAACATTTTAACAGCCATCCCCTCTCCTGGGTCTCATCATCCAGGGGCTGCTGTAGATGCTTGTGTGGTTTATCTGTTGTCTCCTGAACAACAGCTTCCTCTGAGCAGCAGAAATGCAAATATAAATAATCTAATAAAAATTCTGCCGTCTTTAATCTTGCTACAATGCAGACAATTTTGGTGGCATTTTTCTAAATAGATCTGAGATGCTGTTTGGGATTTCCTGTGACATACAAATGCAGTATTTGCACAGAGTTAGAATATGCTGAACAGCATTAATCCCCCATCTCCTCTTCAGGGGCTTCAACTCTTTCTTCACATGGAATCAATTCTTAATATCTCTTGCAGCTTCATCCCACCTTGTGAAACTGAGATTGCTCTCAGCCTGACTGGCTTTCTTCCCTGCTTTCTGTTTCCCTGAGCATGTCAGTGAGCAGACAAAAGAGCTTTGACTCCTGAACACGTGCTTTTTTCTGTCTGACAGCGGGGCTCAGATTGCCTGCATTGTGTGAGGCAGGGTGCGGATACTCTAGGGGAGGCTGTTCCTGCTCAACACATCTTGAATTTTTAATGGAAATTCAATGTAGCAAATGATGTCAAATGCTTTTGGGGAAACTGGGGTGAAGGGACTGAGGAATCAGCAGCCCGTGCAGCTGTACTCCACTTGTTTTGGCAACTGAGAGGCTTTGAGTCAAATCTGGCACATCTGTGGAATCTGTCAGGGTTATTGTTGATTCCTGCTGTGGCAATTTTTCTTTGATTTTCAGCTAAGGGGAACATAGGAGATTTGGAAGGAGGTTGGAATAAGCCATTTACAGGCTTGGTTTGGGAAGGCTTTTGTGCCTGTGGTGCTAGAATTAGTGACAGCAAGTGTTGGGATACTAGTTTTGGTTGATTTGTTTGTTTTGGTGAGATCTAGCATGATGTGACGGGGCAGCAGAAGAACTCAGAAGCTTTCCTGTTCCAACACCACCAGGGACATGTGGTCAACAGCAAGGCAGAAGGGCCTACACTGAGCTGAAACTGATGCTAGTGGGTTCAAAGACTGTGCAGTTGTGATCTCCCTCCAAATCACTTGGTTGATGTGTTACCTATGGATGCTTTCCGTCCTTTGCTAATTAGCCCTACATGGGGGAAGCCTCCAGCTCTCTTGCCTTCATTCAGTATTTTGTTTGTCCTTGTGGACAGCCAGCTGAGGGGATCTTCAGCCAGCCCCGGGTTTGCTGGGGATTCTGGCCATTGGATCAGTGAAAGGCTTCTCATGGGCTGGAGAAGGAATGTAGGTTTAATAAGGTTTGCTGGGAATTCTGGCCATTGGATCTCCATGGGCTGGAGAAGGAATGTAGGTTTAATATTTGTTATCTTTGTTTTAAGAGATTAAGAATTGTTGCATGCTCTGCAGGCTCTGTGGAGTGGTGGCACAGGTGGTACCAGTCCTGATGCTTGACTTTGTGTTCTCTCAGATCCCCAAAGATGAACATATCCTGCGGTTCCTGCGCGCTCGTGACTTCAACATCGACAAAGCCCGGGAAATGCTGTGCCAGTCGCTGTCGTGGCGGAAGCAGTACCAGGTGGATTACATCCTGCAGTCCTGGAGGCCCCCGGCCCTCCTGGATGAATACTACACTGGAGGGTGGCATTACCAAGACAAAGGTTAGAAGCTGCCCCTCACATAGATACGACACAGCAGTTTGCATTGTAGGACCTCAGAAGTATGGGATTTTTGGAGAAAGGTGTATTGACACTTTAAAAGTTACCAAAGCAGTTCAACGCCTGTAAGTGGCCACTCTGTTTTGCTGTAGTTTTGTTATTTTCTCTGCATGGATCAGGCAGACTAAAGTAAATCAGCATCTCTTTGATAGGATGGCCTTTGGGCATTATTTTTATCTTTTTCCGATATTTAATATGGCTTTTATAAAAGGTACTAGAGTGATAGCCTGGGAGACTGGAGTATTTCCCTCTTTAAACCCTTACGTTTGTTTTGAAGATGGGCGACCGCTCTACATCCTTCGTCTTGGCCAGATGGACACGAAGGGTTTGGTGAAAGCTCTGGGAGAGGAGTCACTGCTGCGACACGTAAGTCGTGCTTTCATTTCTCACCTGAGGAGCTCTGGGGGTGTCCAGAAGCCTTGTTATAGCGCAGCAGGAATCCACCTGCTGGAAACACAACCCCCATGTTTCATTGCTGGTGCCTCAACGATGGTTTAGTGACTCTGGCACAGCATCTGTGTCTTCCTGCAGAGACAGAAGTGAAGCTTTTGTAACGGTATAAATGGGCCAGAAGCATGTTTTCTTGGTATGAACAGGCCAAAAGATGTTTTCTGCTCATTTCCAGTTTAGCTGTAAGCTTTCCATGGCCCTTTCATGCAGCTCAGCTAATAATGTTGAATCTTGAGACTCTTATATTTCATCTTAGATTTTCAGCATCTGTACCTTGTACGGTCAGCACTACTTTTTAGTAGAGAAGCCTTTTTTGTTGTTGTTTTTTTTCAGATAGACTCTTATTCTTTGTTTGTCACGCTGCAAGTTCTCAGACTGGTAAACTTCTGGGTCCTGGAACTTTTGAATAAGATCCCTGGGCTGTCCTGGTTTCTCAGTCATACTCGGGCTGATCCTAATCTGTCTCTGATTTCAGGTCCTGTCAATTAATGAGGAAGGACAAAAGAGATGTGAGGAAAACACCAACGTCTTTGGCCGCCCTATCACGTTAGTAGAGTTAGTTTCCTTGTATCCTGAAGGAGTTTGAACTGACATGGTGAGGAGAACAGTGAAGGTTTTAGATGATGCCCTTAAGGTTAAACTGCAGACAGCACTGTGTCCTATTCCTGAGTTTGGGGTACCACATACAGTGGAATTAAATGCAGATAAATTCTACAGCTTCATATGAAAGCAAGTATCAGGCCTTCCTTGCTTTTTTTTCAGATGAATTTAATCTTGCTGTCCTGGTGATTTTAATCCAGATTCTTGAAATTCTCTTTTTTTTTTTGATACAGAAAGCTGTCTGCCAGTTTCCACTTTAATTTAAAATGTATCTTTGAATTATTTTTAGCAATAGGCCTGCATGCCTTCACCATCTCCCATACTGACAGCGTATGTTCTTGCCTTCAGGGCTGGGTGTCTGTTTTCCCTAAAAGCCCAGCTGGATTCAGGCTCTTTGCTGCCTGATCTACTTTTTATTTGAACTGCTGGTCTCCCTTTTTGCCTTGACTAGATCGACAGGCTGTGGTATTACTGAAATATTTTTTGTGGACTGTAAATAAAGTGAGCAGCCACCGTGCAATGAAGTTCTGACAGGTCTTTTTATTTTATTTTAGGTCCTGGACGTGTCTGGTGGACTTAGAAGGGCTAAATATGCGGCATCTCTGGCGGCCTGGAGTAAAGGCCCTGCTTCGGATAATTGAGGTCGTGGAGGACAACTACCCTGAGACTCTGGGGAGACTATTGATAGTGAGAGCACCCAGGGTCTTTCCTGTCCTTTGGACTCTGGTGGGTGAAATCATGGAGGATCATAAGCACTTATCTATGTAGAAATAGCTAAATCATCCGGTCAGTGGGAGTTCTGCTTATTTGAAGAGTTAGGGAGGGAAAAGCTTCCAGAAGCTGAGTGACTGAGCTGAAGAGGCTTCAGTAATTGCTGTGGAGTGAGCCATAGCGTGCCTGAAGCTTGCTTGATTCTAGTGGCCATCATTCACAAGGATGTTGGACCTAAACTGCAAGCCCTCACACAGCCAGGGGCAGCCCAGGCTTGGTGGGTTTTCATATTGATGGGAAAAGACAAATTATTTTTTTTAATCTCATGCTGGAGAACACTTTAGAGAAGAGTAATAAATACGGTGCTGCCTGGTGCCTACTGACTGCTCTGGCGATTAAGTATCCCGGAATGCTTTGGGGTTGGAAGGGACCTCTGGAAATCACCCAGTCCAACCCCCTGCCAGAGCAGGGTCACCCAGAGCAGGTCCCACAGGAACGTGTCCAGGTGGGATTTGAATGTCTCCAGAGAAGGAGACTCCACCACCTCTCTGGGCAGCCTCTTCCAGCCTCTGCCACCCTCACAGGAAAGAAGTTCCTCCTCGTGTTTAGGTGGAACTTCCCATGTTCAAGTTTGTGTCCATTTCCTCATGTCCTGTACTGGGCACCACTGAAAAAAGACCCACCCCATCCTCCTGACACCCACCCTTGAAGTATTTATAGGTGTTGATCAGATCCCCCCTCAGTCTTCTTCAGACTAAACAGACCCAAGTCCCTCAGCCTTTCCTCTTTAGAGAGATGTTCTCGTGAGGTTTCTATGTGGTGCAGTGGCTGAAAACTTATTTTAAATGGAGTAAATTAAAAGAAAATGTCGTGAGACAACGATATAGTACATTTTCAATTTGTTGCTCCTTTCTCTGGGGCTTCAGAGTTGTGAAGCTCTGTGTTCCTGCTGGTGGGGCCTTCCTGACTGGCACCTGAAGTGTCCATGTAAGATGGTATGAATGTTGTCTCTAACGTCACTCAGTGACAGTGGTGTCTGTTCTTTATTTCAGGTCAGTCCCTTTATCAACGAGAACACGAGGCAGAAGTTCCTCATTTACAGTGGGAATAACTACCAGGGCCCGGGGGGGCTGATAGACTACGTGGACAAGGATGTGATCCCAGACTTCCTGGGAGGAGACTGCATGGTGAGCTTTCCTGCCTGCTGGGCTGGTGGGTCCCCCATGTGCCATCTCTCTCCATTCCCACCTCACCACCCTGCCCTCCCACACCCTCTGAAAGATGGTTAAAGCCCTGGTGTGGCTGGGATGGGGCTGCTCCAAGCACAGTGGGGTTCATTCATGCCCAGGAGACCTCACCCTGAAGTGGTGACAGTGTCCTGAGAAAGGGTTAGAGGTCAGTTCTCTACACGGAGCTTAGAGAAATTGTTGTAATTAAAGTAAACTTAGCCCCACTGTGAAATCTTATGCCAGCTGAGGGTGTCATCCTGCGTGTCTGACACCAGGCGAGTGGTGGTGGTACAGATGGCTTGATACTTTACCAGTAGATGAGCGTGAACCCTCACGTTTGTTTCTCTGACCCTTGCAGTGCACTGTCCCGGAAGGTGGGCTTGTTCCCAAGGCCCTTTATCAAACAGAAGAAGAGTCGGAGAACTCGGATCACATCCGGTTGTGGACAGAAACCATCTATCATTCTGCCAGTGTCCTCAGAGGAGCTCCACACGAGGTACAGACCAGAACTGTGTGAGGCTGAAGGAGGCGCAGACCTGGCACTGGGGCTGTGTTCCTTTTGTGAAGGGTGTCTAGAACAGCAAAGGGCTCCTGAAGTGTGAGCAGCAACAGCAACGCTGCCTGTCTTGCAAAGGCTGACACCAGCTAGAAGTGTGGAAATAAAGAACTGCAGTTTCATAGAATCACAGAATCATAGAATTGCCCAGGCCAGAAGGGACCTCCAAAGGCCATCTAGTCCCACCCCCCCGCAGTCAGCAGGGACACCCCCAACTAGACCAGGTTGCCCAGGGCCTCGTCGAGCCTCCCCTTGAATATCTCCAGGGAAGGGGCCTCAACCACCTCCCTGGGCAACCTGTTCCAGTGCTCCACCACCCTCACAGTGAAGAACCCTCTCCTCATCTCCAGTCTAAATCTGTTCCCCTCCAGCTTGAAGCCATTGCCCCTCGTCCTGTCACTCCAGGCCTTTCTAAACAGGCTCTCCCCAGCCTTCCTGTAGGCTCCCTTCAGGTACTGGAAGGCTGCTATTAGGTCTCCCTGGAGCCTCCTCTTCTCCAGGCTGAACAACCCCAGCTCCCTCAGCCTGTCCTCGTAGCAGAGGTGCTCCATCCCCCTGATCATCCTTGTGGCCCTCCTCTGGACCC